CTAGCCTTTAGACTAATTAATAGAATCAATTCTTAGACTGATATATAAACCGGTCTAGTTTAAATAAAAAAATGACTGGTCTTTTTAGACTGGATTTGACTAGACTAGACTAGACCAATCTAACTCTAGTGGTATGCTATTAAAATTAAAGTACAAGACTAAATTATCTGATCCTTACCTCAATTTTAATAGCATACCACTTATATCTCCTTGTTTTCATTTTTACTATGTATTTTAAGAATTTAGAATTTTATTACATCTAAAAAATATTTGGTTCTCTTTCTCTTAAATTTCACTATTTATATAAAATAATAAAAAACATCAATTATTATTAGTTGATTTAATATTGATACTGATCACTAATAATAATAAATAGTAAAACTTCTTATTTTAAATAAATTAACAAAAATTATTATAGTTATTTTTATTTTTAAACAATAATATTTTTAGAAACTTATATAGATTATTAATATTATAAATTTATGTTAAAAATATTAATCAATTAATCAAGTGATTTTTAAGAAAATAAATTTGTGATATAGTAACATTGCTAAAATCTTTGATTTAGCAACTTTAATATCACTATTATGTGATTATTATATGACTATATAGTCACATGCTAGTATATTTTTATTTGACCATTTATTTGTTACCTTATTACCTATATAGAGATGATGAAGAATTTAAATTATATTATGTAATATTACGATTTTTATTTTATAATTATAAATCTTAAAAATTAAATAAATAAAGTCATTTGATTCTGATTATATAGAAGCGATAAGAAAGTCTAAATTTTATTCACTATAGAAGTTTTTGAAATTAAGTAAAAATCTATTTTTCTTAGCCTTTTATTATACAAATTTTTTTTTTTAAAAAATAAACCATATGAGACCTTTATAGTAGAAAGGTCAGAAACTACCTTGAAAATGAAAATGAGTTTTTGTTATATTTGGGTAGATTTTGGTATAAGCTACATTTTTCAATTATAAATGGAAATCAATTTGCATAGCAAAAATCGAGATAAATCAAGTTTAAGCAAATATTACATAAAATAATCTATATCTTAAATTAGTAAGAAGTTGATACAAGTTCTAAAAATAGCATATTCAATAACATAAGTTTCTTTACAATAGAAAGTTCAGAAACTTTATTTTTTCAATATCTAATCATATTTAATTATCAAATTAATGACATAATTTTTTCATTTAGACATTTTTTTAGTAGGTTTCAGTACGAACCTTTCTCCAAATAGGTTTACTGTAAGTTTTTCTAATAGTATCAATTTTAATAATAAAAAAAAGTTTTAATGATAAAAAAAGAAAGTCTTAAAATGAAGAAACATAAAAAATGCAGAAATTGAAATCGCCAATTTAATCAAAAATTTAATATCAAAAAATAAATTTTTTTTAAAAAAAAGTGGAAGTTAAATATGTGTCGCCAATCATAAATGCCAATCATGTCAAGTTTTAATCTTCTATAAGTTTATACATAAAATGCTTTTTTATTTCATTCTAATAAAAATCCAATTCATTATCTACACAAAATACTTTATTTTATAAAAAATCTGAAATAATATGTCATCAATTATAAGCGTTAATTATGCTAAGCTTTGATCTTCCACAAGTTTATAAAAAATCTGTTTCACTATATACACAGAATACTTTTTCTTTTTCTAATAAAAATCCAGTTCACTATTTACATAGAATGCTTTTTTTATTTCATTCTAATAAAAATCTGTTTCACTATCTACGCAGAATATTTTTTATTTCATTAATCTATAATTCTCTGAAATCTTAATCAATGACATTGTAAAACATTTCACTAATGTTAAAAGTAAATTAAGTAAATTATTTATTTTTATTTATTTTATTTATTATTTCTATTCTAAAATATTAAAGTTTCAATTTTTATTGATTCTAATTCCCAATTTCTGATTTTCAATTCTAAAGTTTCAGTGGATTTGTAAAGATTGAAAAATTAATTCATAAAATTCCTGATTCTAAATACATATAGGTCCTAAAAATTAAAAAAAAAATATTAATTAGAACCAATTTCAACTTTTTCATTTCTATCTGATTCCAATTACCATTTTCAAAATTCCTGATTTTGAAATTCCAGATGATCCTAAAATAAAGAAAAAAAAAGAATATTAGTCTATATTCTTAGAAGTCAAAAAAAAAGTTTATCCGCTTTTAATACTTTTCTAATTCCTGATTCCTAATTCATGAAAACTCTTGAAAATAAAATAAAGGAAAAGAAAAAAAAGCAAAACAAGAAAAAAACAAACAAATCTTACCTAAATTTCCAATCAAGTTCAAGCAAATCCAACGAATTTGCAAAAAGAAAGAATTAGTCAGTAAAAAAAAAATGAAAAAAAGAAATTTTAAAGAGACTAAACACAAACTCACTATTCCAGGTGAAGCCAAGTTAAAGATGAACTTACAAAAGAAAAGAGAAAGTCAGTAAAAGAAAAATAAAAATAAACAATAAAAAATAAAAAAAAGTAAATGAAACTTAATATTTCAAGCGAATTCAAGTTTAAAAGCTACAAAAAGAAAGAACTAGTTAGTAAAAAAAAACAAGAAAAAAAAGAACTTAAAGAAGATAAACAAAACTTACCATTCCAGCATTCCAGGCGAACTAAAGTCTAGAAGATAAATCTACAAAAAAAACTAGTCAGCAAAAGTTGTTTTAAAGCGAGAGAATTCAGTGTAAAAATTTCAAAAAAAAAATAAATTGGCAAATCACGCTGAAAATCAGATGATGATTTGCAAATTCACTTGAACAGGCTGATTTCTAAAAAGAAATACTGTTCTAAAAAAATTAACCTAAAAACTTACTGTGAGTCATACTTGAAGAGAAAGTCTATGCTGAATGCTAAAAAAAAGAAAAAATAAACGATTAATATCATTCTAGAAGAAAGAGATTTACCAAGAAAAGAAAGTCCAGACTACTTTCTAAAAAAGAAAAAGAAAAAACGATTAGCTTAAAGAGAAAGTCTGAAATAATTCCTAAAAAAAAGAAAACAAAACAAAAAAAAACAGTTAGTACCATTCTAATAGACTCACCTATAAAAAAAAACTTACCAAAAAATCCACTTAAAGAGAAATTCCAGGCTGATTTTTCTAAAAAAAATGGAAAAAAAGATGGTTAAAACTGGTCTAAAAGAAGAATAATTAAGGAACAAAAAATAAGAAACAAAAAAGAAACATTAATTTCAAGATTTAAGAAGTCCAAGCCTTTCTATGAGAGAAAAGAAAAAATGACTATTCTTATTAGCTTTAGCATGGTTTATTGGATGAAACTTTTCATATAAGTAAGAAAATTAAAAAATTTTTTTTTATATATTATAATAATTATATCTATTTTTAACATTAAAATCAGCAAAGCAATAAACGTAATAAGGATATTCTATTTTTAAACTGCAGATTATCGATCTATTTATATATAATCAAAATTTTCAAACTCAATTATCTCAAAATCAGATTTATGGCAGTTTCTGACTTTTCTAATGCAAAGGCCCTATATATTTTTCTTAATATTTGAATTTTTTTAAAAAAATAAAAAATCATATTTTCTTAATAGTATGTTTTAATAAATTCTTAATATTCGAAAATAAAAACTTATAATATTTAAATTAATCTAAAATGAAGGTAAAATTTTTTAAAATATGTTTTTTACTAATATTATATTATATAGATATTTACCAAGCTATAAAAATATAATATCAAATTTTATCACTTGTATAGTAATTAAAATAATTCTGAAACACAGATAGAAGGATATAATAAATCAGTATCTATTAAAATAGATACCTAAAAATTATAATATAAGTATATTAAATATTGAATAAATCAAAAAAAAGTTAATGTATTACATAATTTTGAGGTAGATCTAGTCATATATATATTCATCCTACTTTTTTTAATCTGATTTGAGCATTCTTTGAATTTTTTTATATATCATAAGAAAGCATCTAAAATGTAATTTTAAATATAAAGCAAATAATAAATAAATTTAAAATAATATTTTGCATATAAAGAAATTAAATTTTAAGTGTAAAAATCCTTTGTCATATTCTAATGAAAAATTTTGATACAATATCTTATCAGATCTACTTGGGATTTTACATTTTATTATAATTCTATCAAGTTTCTTAACAGTTTTAACATTCTATTTATTATAATATATTTTAAATACCTCTTTAACAAACAATATAAGCTTATCTATAGTCCTATATTTTTTGAGCTTAGTTTTATTTATGTTTTTTAAATATCTTCTTAAAATTCACTTAATAACCTATTTGAACAAAAATTCTTCAATTTTGGTTCCTATTAGCATAGTTTTTCATTCTTCTCTGATTTGTTTTTCTTTAAATTCGTAAATTCTTACCAAAATTTTTTTATTTAGTTTATTATGAAAATTTGTCAAATCCTTTTAGAATAACAAATGACTTTTTTAGCTTTACTACTAAAGATATCTCCCTAAACTATTTTTAAAAAATTTGAGTTTTGAGATATTTAAGATTAAACTATTTGTTTATAATAAATAACTTTACCTAAACTTCTAATAGGTTTTTCTAAAATCAATTAAGTTTCATCAAGTTTTAGATTTAAAAAAAAAGGTATTTTAAAGGTTTCAAAATAGATTCTCAATTTTTAAGCTACACATTAATATAGGTTTTGAATAGTATTATTATTAACTACTATAAAGGTTATAATTAAAGATTTTTATGATAAAGTTTTTAATAATTTCATCTATAGTTTCCTTAATCAGAGAAAAAGCTTTATCTTCTTATACTAAAGGTGAATAAGACCCTTTTTATCATTTATCATAATTGCAGCATATTTTATTAATAATAAGATAGATAAATAAGCAAGAGATAAGTAAATCTAGTGATATATTTAAAATATTATACATCTGATTTACCATCAATAATATGTTTTGCCTTTTTGTTGATAACTAATAACAAACTTTAAACATATTTTTCATTCTATTTAAGCCTTAAAAATGTCAAAAAAGTAAATTGTATTAATTATTAAATATTTATTATATTAATTATTATTCATAATAAATAATATTTACCCTTTTTCACATCATATAATTTTGAGATTTCTTTATCATCATTAATGTTACTATCATTATTCCCATTTGAGCTTTCAGAATATTCATAAATATTGTCTAATTTATAATAAAGGGTTTAATAATATAAATAAGTAAATGATAAAGAAGAAATTATATAATTACCTTTATTATCTTCACTTTCTAATTGTTGAAAAAACTAGTGATATTATCTTCATTGCCTTGACATCATTAGCATTTATTTTGGCAGGATTTGTGGATAATGCCTATTTTTTTATTGCAACTTTAGCTATTTACTGATAGAATCACTTTTAGTTTTAATTTTATAGTTATCTTTATAAGTATTGTTAAATTCTTTAAGAATTGCACTGTAATTTGATTTAATTCAGTCATTTTTGAATTGTGATCTTTTTAGTAGTTCTGAAATGCTAAAATCTTCAGATATGTCCTTATAGATTAGATCATCATCAGGAATAGCAATTACTTTCAAATTTGATTATTTGCCATGATCTAATTATAATATTTATAAAAACATTTAAATATTAGAATAAATAGAATAATCAAAATAAATAAAAATTAATGTTAAGATTTAATTTCAACACATTTTTTCTTATCTTGACCATCTGATTAAAATAGCAAATCAGAAAAAAAAGCGTATTTTCTAAAGAAATGGCTAATTGATAAAGATTGAAAAAGTCTAAAAATATTACTTGTTTTAATTTTAATCATAATATTTTTAGCCAATTCAACTAACTGATTTGTTTTATTCCAGCCACAGTTACTAGGGTTCCTCAAAATCGAATCGAATTAAATATTTAAGCAATTTGAATTTGATTTGATTTTTTCAAATCAAATCAAATCAAACTCAAAGATTTGATTGAATCAATTTGAATCAATTTGAATTTGATCGAATTGAATCAAATTGAATCAAATATTTGATCAAATTAAATTGAATCGAATTGATCAAATCAAATCAAATCAAATCAATTGAATCAAATCAAATCGAATATAAATTTTTTTTAATTTTTACAAAGATATATTAAAATAAAGATATTCTAAAGTTTTAATTAAGAAAATTATTAGTAATTTCACTAAAAATTTCAAGATAGCATTTATAAAGTAAGTTTAGTAACAGGTGAATTTTTACTATTAAACTTAGTAAAATAACTTTGCAGTTTTGGTTTTACTAAGAAAACTTAGTAATAACTATTATCATGGCTTCAGTTTATTAAGATAATTTAGTAAAAACTAAAGATGGATACTATAATTAAGAAGTTGCAACTTGGTTGCAACTCCTTATAAATTTATTTTAATATAAAAATTCATAAAATGTTGCAACTTAAGTTGCAACTAGCAAAATTTTTAAAAATAATTATGGGAACCATCTTTAGTAATAACCCCTATCGCAGCTTCAGTTTTACTAAGACAATTTAGTAATAACCGCTATCGTAGCTTTGTTTTACTAAGAAAACTTAGTAATAACTACTATCGCAGCTTTGGTTTTACTAAGAAAACTTAGTAATAATCATCATCTCAGCTTTGTAATAATTTTATTAGTAAAAAAATATTTCCAAAGCTGCAGACACGTTTTTTACTAGGTTTCTTAGTAAAAAAGGCATTTCTGAAGCTGCAGAAGTATTTTTTATTATGGTTTTCTTAGTAAAAAAGCATTTCCGAAGCTGCAGAGGAGCTTTTATTATGGATTTCTTAGTAAAAAGGCATTTCTGAAATCACAGAGACGCTTTTTACTATGGGTTTCTTAGTAAAAAGGCATTTCTGAAGCCACAAAGGCGCTTTTTACTATGAGTTTCTTAGTAAAAAGGCATTTTTGAAGCTGTGAAGGCACTTTTTGCTATGATTTTATTAGTAAAAAAGGCATTTTTGAAGCTGTGACACCTTTTACTATTGTTTTCTTAGTAAAAGCTACTCCTAAAGCTTTGGATATGACTTTACTATTGATTCAAATCAAATCAAGTATTTGAATACTTAATTTGAATTTGATTGAATTGAATCAAATATAAATTTAACTTTGTATTTGTTAAATTAAATATTCAAATATCAAATCGAATTGTGAAACCCTAACAGCTACAATCTCTTTTACAACTTTTTAATTGCAATAAAATTAAATAAAAATTACAATATATCAATTGTAATCTTTATAAAACTTATTCGCAACTTGTATTTTATTTAGTATATTATCTTTAATAGGTTTTTTAGGTTTTCGTATTTTTGCCATTTTAAAAAATACTTAATGAGAATATTTAAAAATGTTTTATAAATAAGTAAATACGAATTTTAAAGTAAAGTAAGAAAGAGTTTCTTTGACTAAAAACTTTTTTGTTGTAAATAATGATAAACTTTTATATGTATACAATAATAAAATTTAATTCTTAATAAATAGACTTTTATAATGCTTAAATTTTCTATATATTTCAATGATTTTAATATAATTTGTTAAAAATAAAACAATTAGAATATGAACATTATACCATTAGTTGAAGGGTTAATTTTTTTGTTTTATTTTCAGAAATTTACTTTAAAAATAAGATAATAACATAATATTAATTACAGTTTTTTCTTTATCTCTTATTAATATTAGTGGTATTTGTTTTATTCCAATTATTTCAAAAAGATAATATACTTGTAATGCTACTTTTTGGTAATAAGCAGTAAAGAGGCTTATATATTGATTTCTTTTTATTAGAGTGTTATTTTAGTTTTAATTATTTTTCCTAAATACCAGAGAATCATCAAAATTTCTATTCGATTTCTTAAACTTCTAGCTCTTCTGAGTTATCGCATTAAAGAGCTTATTTGTTAAGACATTATATTACATTGTTAATGAAAAGTAATATTATCATTAGATTTAAAGATTCATTCTGATAAAGGTCTTTCAAAATTTTTATAAATGGACTCATGATGTTTTGTCAGGCAAAAGTTTTATTGTTTCTACTTATATACTTTTCAAAAAACTTCTATTTACAGGTGCTTTTAATAATCTTCCATCTAATTGCCATATTTTGTAAATACTGTTTCCAATTACATCATATATATAGTAATGCCCTTTCCATTTTGGATCTAATTTTCCAGCATGTATTTTATCTTTGGCTGCTTCAAAGTATAAAATCTTATCTCTAATATAATATGAAATTAGCTTTTTCAATTTCTTATCATGACAATCTTTCTATTTTTGCTGCTCAATTTGTAATTTTTTTTGAATAGTATTTCAGATGATCAACAGGTAATCTAATTATTTTTTCATATAGTTAAGCAAAATGGGGTTCTTTTTCATTTTCGTATTATTCATTGGTAATTTAGCATCCCTTTCATATATAAGAAAAAAGTGGGATATTTTTGTAACAAAATATTCATTCGTATGATAAGCAAAAAGTATTGGTATAATATACAGACACTAAATATAACAAACCTGTTTGTACTAAAAACTCGTTATACTGAACTGATTGATACAGAACTGAATTTTATATAATTAATTATACTGGATATAACGAACTTATATAGTAAAAATGCTATATATCACATCTGAACTCATTTTAACTGGCCCAACTATATTATTTATATACTTGATATACCAAATAATCACATGACTTAAAAATTGGTGTAGCATAAGATGTAAAATTTATAGTGGTTTAATCGACTAATTTAATTTATGTTTAACAAGAAATAAAACTATATGTCTTGAGATGTTAATTTAATAATTATTTTTTGTGATTTTAGCTAATGAGTGTTTAACAAGAATAAAATCATATTTTAATTTAGAAATTTCATTGTCTTGCTTTTTTTTTGTGATCTAATAATTTTTTTTTTGCATTTAAATATAAATATGTTTAAAGAATTTTTTACATATCTATTTCATCAATTTTACTATTGCAATGTAACAAATAAAAAAAAAGATTTTTATATAGGCTTTCTTTTTTGCTTATAATTTTTGTAGTAGAAGACATCAATAAAAGAAATCATAGATGCTTATCATATCGGCCTCATTATAAAAGTTTGGATTTATTGATACTGTATGTAATAAACGAACAGGATTTAAACATTTTTTTGCATACTGCATATCTTATATTTTATAACCTCTTTTTTATTATTTAACAATTATAGATATTATCATGTTCCTTTTATTTTCCTGTTACTATTCCTTTTTGAAATTAAAATTTGATACAATCTTGATTGCATCTAGTACTTTCTTATTAAAGATATTCCAAAATAAATTTATAATCGTTACGAAGGATAAATTATTTGTTGCGGCTTGTATCAATAAAACATTAGTTTCAAATATTATCATATTGCTATATGCTAATTACAGGTCTTATTATATATACACTTCATCAATTATAATAGAAGGGCTCTCAATTTTATTAAAAGAAGTTTTTTTGCTTTAAATAATAGATTATAAGGATCATTTATTTTGTCTTTTTAAAGAACTAACATGAAGTGAATTATTCAAAAAGATGGTCATATAGAATTAACTAATATTGTTTCAGTAAAATTCGTTTAAGATTTTTATTTAAGATTTAGACACAATATGAAGAAGAATTTTTACTTAAATCTATAATATAAAAAAGATGAAAAATAAGTTATAAAAGAAGAAATATAGTATTTTTTTTATTTTAAAGAAATAGTACGTAAACAAAAATGATTAACAAAATAATACTTATCCTTATTGAGCAATAAATAGGTAAATCAGGTTGTAGGTTGTGATAATTTTCAAATTTATGTAGATCAAATATTTTTCAAAGAAATCTGTTTAAAACTTTAATGATATGATAACAAGAAAAAGAGTTAGCCTATCTGCTGCATAAAAATAGGAGCTTTGCGAAAAAAAGGAAAAAATCCAAACCTTTTTAACGTTGAACTTGCATTACAATATCATGTTAAAAAGTCAACTATTACTGATATTTTAAAAGAAAAGGGCGTTGGCTTTCAATTTTAAAAAGTCAAGAAAATGTTAAAAAATTTTGTGATCTAAAGTAACCTCAATTTGAAGATGTACTTAGCCTTTGGGTTGATAATGCGCTTAATACAAAACAAAGATATAGATGGTAATATTTTAAAAACAAAAGCAAGTTATTTTGCTAATCAACTTTCTATAGAAGATTTTCACTATTCAGAGAGATGGTTAGGTAGTTTTAAAAAATGGCATAGTTTACGTCAGTTTAAGAAACGAGGTGAAGCAGCAAGTGCACCTTCAACTGAATCAATAGAAAATGACTGTCTTGCTTTACAACAAATTCTTATGTCTTATGATCCCGGAAAATATTTAAAAAATGAAAATGAAACTGATCTTTTTTTAGAAAATGGATCCTTCTAGAGTTTTAGAAACATACTTCTCTATCAGGTCATAAAAAAGAAAAGTCTCAAGTAACAATATTTTA